GGCCAGAGAGTGTGAAAGGAGCAGACAGGGAGCCCACAGAGCTGCTTAAAAGAGTGTAGAGGCCCCTCCCGTGGTCAGACACACCGCCACGGCTTCCCTCTCCCCTTTACACACTGCATGTGCCCAAGAAAGCCTTCTGAAGTGCAAATGTAATGCAATTATCGCACATAATACAGAGACGGCGTGATCCTCCTGGCTTAGAGCAAAAAGAACGCACATGATGATAACGAATTAGCCTAGCATGCAGCAGGATAATGTCAGTATCTCTGCACAGAGGATAGAAACATACAGATACACAGTGAGTCCAGTACTAACAATGTATACTAGATTTCCTATCTGCTTTTAAAGGTCATGTTTCACCCTCTTGATAATGAAACAGATTCCCTTTTTATTACAGTGCTGTGCTTTATTACAATTAAACTAGAATCATGTCGTTACATTAATTGGAGTTTTAGATGAGAATTGATGGCATGGCTGACTAACCACCTTATTGCATAGAGCACCCCCCCCCCCCTTCTGATCTTCTGATTGAGAGAGGTTAACAGTCTGCTTTAGATATATGGAGGATAAAAGGAGATTACCAGGTTCGGAAAAGTAGTGATTAATAAAATCCTCAAATCTATTAGTAAGCTGGTGGTCGACCCAGCTACTTAGCAATAACGACGCTGAATACAGAAGACAGAACCATGTTACCTCGATATTTTTATACATTATTTCTAGTTTAAACATCAGCAGCTCCCCTGCTTTCACATTCGAGCGAAAGTCAGTAAATATACTGTCTGCAAAGGAATCAGAACTGAAAAAGGTAATAAAAGTTAATGACAAAATGGAACCTGCAGAGCTGCACCATTAGCACATGTACGTTCAAAGATAAAGATAGCTGACGCTATTAATACCCATTAGTGAGAAGAAATTTGTATAAATATTATTACAATACCTTTGCGGCACTACATAAATCTGACAGGTATTTAATACCTTCCCGTTAATATGTTATTATGTATTAAAAATATTAAGTAGTCCAACAGGGTGATAATGAAATGTAAAAACATTCTTCGATAATGCAGGACAAGGTGGTATTAAAACAGTTTTAGGTGACAAATAGCATTTTTTGCTGCAGTGTATAAGGCTCTTGTGAAATTGCATAATCCTCTTTACTTCAACAAGCTTACTGTCCATACTGATCTCTCTCTGTCTTCAAGGTTAATGTCCATACTGATATCCCTCCTTACTTCTTCAAGCTTACTGTCCAAACTGATATCCCTTCTTAGTTCTTCAAGCTTACTGTCCATACTGATCTCTCTCTGTCTTCAAGGTTAATGTCCATACTGATATCCCTCCTTACTTCTTCAAGCTTAATGTCCAAACTGATATCCCTTAGTTCTTCAAGCTTACTGTCAATACTGATATCCCTCTTTCTTCAAGCTTACCATCCATACTGATAGCCTTCCTTCTGTCCAGTCTGCATGAGCTGCATGCTACATCAAATTACCGATTAGCTCAGCAAACATTTTCGCCCATCACCCACTCACACAGATTCAGGTTCAAGACTATAAAAAGTAACCTTCCGTCAGGCAGATCTTCAGCCATCTGGCTATATGTTGACCATCTTAAAATGCTTTGCTCACCATCACAGATGAAAATTTTTAGTGAGCCACTCTGGGTTAAGTACCCTGACCAGATGCATAATCATCAAATCCTGGAAAAATATGCTGATTTTTTAAGTGCTTATGCTTATACGTCTTCATTCCCATCCACTATGGGACCCACAGAAGGTTTCTGCTGGGCTTCAGATGCAGGATATCTGGCTTGCCAACCTGGACCATGTGTTGATGCCTGACATTGGTGTCAGGCAGTGGGATGCTGGGGTGTGGCTGGGAACTGTGTGAATGCCATTGGGACCGAATGCAGATGTGTTCACTATGTAGGATCTTCTCTAACTAAACTACACAACCTGACTAAAATGCTGTTATTTTATCACTAAGAATAACAGGTAAAATAATCCTCGGAACAGAAATAAAGTGCAATCACGTTTTTATATTTCTTGTTATCAAATAAAAACCATCCAAATTGGTTTAGCCATTTATGCACATTTTAAGTTGCACTTCCGAATTGGGAGGTGTAAAGAGCTAGAGTACTCGTAAACTAAACCAGTAACCAGGCAAGAGGCCAAAGTAAATGGGTGAGACTAAGTGTGGAATTAACCATTTCATCAGGCTGGTAGGATAGACATGAGCCTGGAGCTACTCCAACAATCTGCATGCCAGGTGTGTATGTACAGTGTAACCTGTTAGCAGGAAAGCAGAGTGCAGCAGCCAGATGGGAGGTGTGTAAAGCAGAGATAAGTGTACAGCAGGCTGTGGGCTCAGCTCCCAGGTGGGGCGACCAGACCCAGAACGCAAATGGATACCCAGGAACTAGAGCATCCGGGAAAAGAATGCGGTGATACCCAACATGCAGAAACATTACCCCTGCTAACCAAATACATACTGGTGATATAAGGGACGAAACTACACTGGTGGAACAAAAGTGTCCTTAAACATTCATCATCAATGTTCTGGATTCATGTTAAAAGGCACAAATCTGAAAGAGTCTATGGTTCCACAGGTTAAGACAGGCTAGCTTGCGATTGGAAGGTCACTGGTTCAAATCTTTAGCCTGGCAGATTGATTTCACCATCAGGGAAGGCCCTTAACCCCAATTGCTCCAGGGACTCTGGCTGACCTTGTTCTCTGATCCTCACTTGTACATTTCTTTGGACAAAAGCGCCGGTTAAATTAAAATAAATAAATAAATAAACTTGGACCCCAGGGCCAAATTACCATCTAAGACGGCAGTGTTCACGCAACCTTAGTTTGACATTGTAGGCGCAATGTAATAGCATGGGTCCAGGCAAGCCAAATGATTTCGCAAGGGTGTCTGCGCACCAGCAAAAACGTTATATACAGTACATGCCCCAATTTAGCATAGTCTCTGTTGAAACTGAGAAAATTAGCTGAAAGCCAGGAGGATCTCTGATAGTGTAGGACAGGACAGTTAATTCCTGTGTTAAAAGTCTGACACCTGTGTAAGGGTCACACTTCACTGGAACGAATGCAAGTGTGCACGAACCCCTCAGAGACTGCTACTGGGCTCTCCAGCTAATTCAATGTACTGCATTTTCGATGAGCAGTTTTTAGCCAGAAAATCAGGAATTTGCTGCTACATTTGGGGTGTGGAGTAGATCAATAGGCAGACTGCTCTGCCTTTTTTGGGCCACAGCGTGTCAGAAAGATGCTGGGTGGCGAAATGCATGAGGAGGGTCGTCTTTGAATGACTAAACAGCGGGAACAGACAGCATTTAAAGAGAAACAGCACGTTTGATGCAAGGGGCTGCATTAGTTCAACTGAGGTATTTTCTCAGCATAATATAATGATTTAAAAATGTACTCTGTAACCAAAATGGAGTTAAATTAGCTTTTACCAAAATGAAGGGCCATGATTACCAGCTCTCTGTACAGGTAAATGATTTAAAAGCAAACAGGACAGAAACACAGCAGTCTTCACAGCATGTCGGTTCGTAAATGTCCTGGTTTTCAAAACTTTGGGATCAGGCTTGGAGGACGCTCTGTATGTTGTATTGTGTGTAGAAGATACCCAACATGGAATGTAATTTAACAGGTAATCACGTTCAAAACATTTCAGCCTTCAATTTTTCAATTTTTTTCCTTTAAAGATTGTTGATAAATACACATTTTACAACTGGGAGATTCCAGGGTGGCACCAGGAGTGGGCTGACGGGGATTAAGCCCCAAAAAATCAATTCTACAATCTGTCATGGCGTTATGATACGACAGTATCTGGGCTAAAGACGTGGGTATCCTCTGACCCCAAAAGCGCCCCCTGCTGGCAGAGCAGAAGCAGGTGTGCGGTGTACTGAAGTCTTCGGTTTACCATCAGACTCACAGATCGCTGCCGTTCTCTAATGTTTGTTAATCACCGACTCAAGTAAAACGATTAAACGATGGTGCTTAAATGTCAGTGGTGTGAGAGGCAAGCTACATAGGAGGTGAGCGTGACTCGGCCATTTGCCGGCACCGTGAGATAAAACAAATATCAGACGACATAAAATGGCAATGCTTATATAATTTTAGGACATTTATCTTACTTAGCACTACAAACATGACAGAGTTTTGCGGTTAATATGTTTCTCTGATCATCCTGGCCCTGCCAGGTATATTTATTGGTGTATTTATCTTGTTCTGACTTGCAGCTGCTGCTTAGGGTTTCGTATCTGTAAGGAGCAGCAACACCCCATCGCTTACATATTGCAAGCCAAGGTGCTGCACTAGCGGCGGGGATAGTCTTCCATATCTACACATACAGGGCTTTAATATATCGAGAGCGCACGCAGCGATATTCCGGGTCACTCCCTTTATGTAATGCTTTGAAATAGATTCAGCTTAATAATGGTAATATCACCCTCTTTGTTAAGCTGAAGAAGGGAATCCTGCAGTCCTGTCAAAAGACCTTCTAGGAAGGAATTATACATTTTATATATAAACAGGCGTTATATTTATCTTTACCGCTGAGGGTATTCTTTTACCTAAAGCCACTATGGGCCACTCAAAGAGCTAAAGTAGGTCACATTATGTACTATTAAGTACTTAATATACTTAAAACTGTATATAAGAAATTTCAAAAAAAAATTATGCATATGTTACCTATTAATTCTGTGTGTGATCCATATATGACACAAGGTTTTTTTATATCCAGGGGAGGCTACAATTCTGGAAAAAAGGAGGACAATCTGCTGTAAAGATCCTATCTGGCCCCTTTTCTCATATTTGAGCAGGTGGCTAAATCAGCACTGCCTGCAACATGAAAGCAAATGCAATCAACCTTAAAACAATCTTGATCTAATAAACAGAGGAGCTCTCTCATGAGGATCAGTAACTAAATAAAATGCAATCATGTTCCTCCCGCAGCAGATTTTAATCTATTTCTTAGTTAGTTCGACTTACTCTCTCTGCACTCTTCCAGCTGCCTAACTGGCAGGCTTGATTGGTGGTGTTGCGGAGTCCTCCTTGCACCAGGAGTGGCTCATGCACCGGCTGAGTGTTTGAATCCATCACTTCCCCTCTCTGTCACGTAATACACATCTCGCCTTATTTTGAGGCACTTGTGCAAGTTGCTGACTGTCAACACCACTCAGCATAGCATGCATATTCCATCAGTTTTCCCCAAAAATGTCTCAGACTTCCCGACTGTTATGAGTTTGGTATATTTAAGAAAGGTTACCGTTCCTGTGATTGTACGATAAGATGCATTTCAGTATCTGGCTCACTAACAATAAAGACTCCATTTGCTTTGCTGCTGCAAGCTTGCAGAAAGAGGAGAGTAGATGAACGTGTGGGGGAGGCGGCGGGTTTGAGAACCAGGCCCTTCACTCACCTGTGATTAACCACGTGAATGAAGCACAGCTACCAGGCCGTCATCCAGAAGTGAACGGAAGCAATACTCAGGCTCTTGTGGTTTTTCCATCCTGCGTGTAGAAGTGAGAAGCTTTGTCTTGTGCCGTCTTCAGACTTCATAAAAGTGGCCATTAAACTAAATACCCATTTAAATCAGCTGCCAGTGCTACCTGCAAACGCAGCGCAGGTCAGCTACAGCTACCGAGCGCCACAGCGTTCCTGAGGCTAGCCCAGAAAAACCTACAAAACAGCGTGCAAGGTGGCCATCAGCCTCATTATCCGTTTAAAACACAAACAAAAACTAGCGATTAGCATAAACAAACCCGAGTGATTAATTTGTTTGGAACCCAACAGATTTGGAGATTAAGAGTCCTTGTTCAATTTCGCCACACAACTGTCAGAGGACTTTCTGCCTGTTCTGTTGTATGCTCGAGGAATTTGTACTCGATTCAGTGACATCAACCATTATGCAGCTATTTTTAAGAACATGGGGAACTTATTGTGTTGGATGTGATCTAGCTACTATTTCTGGTCATTGCTGGCAAGCACGTTAAGCATCGTATGACTGTAGCGTTTGTCTTTGTTTATTATTAGGGATGGGACTGAAAGAATAAGAGACTATAACTACTTCAATGGTCATCTATGTTATCAGTGATATACTGTATCGCCCAAATGTTTTTACATCAGGCTACTGCACTGGCTGCTTACCACTGCATGTGAAACCTTTCTGCAGTAAAGAAAAGAGACACTTAACTGAGGTCAGACAGATTTTCACTTGGTTAAGTCATTATCGGCATGGATCACACCAATCCTCTACGTCTCACTGACAGCTACATTAACAAGGCTTGTTGACAATGCAGTGAACAGCTTCTGCCTCAATCCTGGGATCGGACAGTGTGGTGCGGTGCTTTGACAGGGACTCTGCATTCCCCAAGAAACCATTCACATCCATTACCAAAGAATTCAGGAAAAATAACAGTGAAGTCCAATAGATCTGCAGTGGAGTGTACAAAGCTGTATAGTTTACTACAGTGTTTACTGATCATTGTTTATTATTTATGACACGGTATCGTTAATTATTTACTGTCTATTAATGTATATATATCTTTTTCACTATATAAATGTGTGTGCTGTGCTACTACAAACTTGAAATCTTCTCCTTCATTTATTAATGAATTAATCAACGTGTTATGTTGGGTGTAAACTTATATTTGGCAATAAATACAAATAAAGCAAGCAGATATACATCAAGACTGGTGTTTATTTAGCCTGTGTTCTCAGGTGTGGGAAGGGGGAAGCGCTGTTCTCTGTGGAGGGGGCTGCCCACACGTGCCCGCTGTCGTGTCCTGCGGTACCTGCTGCTGCTGGCTTTCAGACTGTCTCTGCCCTGTTAGCCGCTCCTCCAAATAAGCTCAAAGGGGACCTGTCTTTGTCTCGCCTTCTCTTTCTTTTAGGCTTTCTAACCTTTGTCTGCCTCCCCTGAGCCTCGAAATACTTTCTCTTGCTCTATGTGTGACCATAATTCGCCATTATATTTTGTGAATCTGGTCTTATCTTGTTTTATTCTATTGCTGGTAGTTTTTTTTTTCAATCTGTGTTTTTGCTGTGACTATGTGCATGGTGACATGCATATCCTTATAAGAAAAATACCAGCATTAAATAAATGTTATATAAGAAAACACCATCATTAAACCTGCCCCTTAATGGGTGATTTTCACCTCTTTGAATACAGAAGTTATTTGTATCACAAATGGGGATTGTAACGAAGTGAATATGAGCTCATATAAAGGGTAATATATATTACACACATCAACAGTGAACACTTAAACGAATGAACAAAAATGTTTTTATCTTTTATTTTTTTGTAATTGTAATTGTATGAGAAATGTTTAAAATGGGGAGGATTTATGGTCTGAAAGACATAAATGTTCCTCTGTCTGCTCTTCCCCTACGAAACACCGCATGTGGAGTCTGCTCTTCCCCTACGAAACACCGCATGCGGTGTCTGCTCTTCCCCTACGAACAGGGGCGGATTAAGGTGCACAGAGGCCCCTAGGCTACAGTAGTCTGTGGGCCCCCCAACCCCACCCCCCTCCGCGCCAATGGGGGCCCCCTTGCAGGCTGGCACACGTGGGGCCCCTAGGCTTAAGCCATATCTAGCCTGTGCGTTAATCCGCCCCTGCCTACGAAACACCGCATGCGGTGTCTGCTCTTCCCCTACGTAACACCGCATGCAGACTCTGCTCTTCCCCTATGTAACACCGCATGCGGTGTCTGCTCTTCCCCTACGTGACACCGCATGCGGTGTCTGCTCTTCCCCTAGGTAATACTGCTTGCAGAGTCTGCTCTTTCCCTACGAAACACCGCATGCGGAGTCTGCTCTTCCCCTACGTAACACCGCATGCGGTGTCTGCTCTTCCCCTACGTAACACCGCATGCAGACTCTGCTCTTCCCCTATGTAACACCGCATGCGGTGTCTGCTCTTCCCCTACGTGACACCGCATGCGGTGTCTGCTCTTCCCCTAGGTAACACTGCATGCGGTGTCTGCTCTTCCTCTAGGTAATACTACTTGCAGAGTGTACATCCTCTTGTTGAGTCGACATAGCAAGAAGGCTGAGGCCAGTGATACAGATCAGTTTTCTTTCTAATTCTGATTTCTGACCTTCACAAGTTAGGAAGGGTTTGGCTCATATGCATTGCTCCAGAGCGTTCTTTTTCATTTTCTACCCAAATATACATTCATACATTGATAGGATCGAAACTTGGATTTTTCCCAGCTACCAGCTAAACATTCACGCAGTACACGATCAAGGGGAGTCTACTGAAAACCACTGGGCTCCAGTTAGGGGTCTATCACATGCCACACGCTCAAACACATTTGGAGAGGCCAATCTGCATGCCTTTGGGCTGCAGGAGGGCGCTTCTCCAAGACGGGGAGAACATGCAAACGCCACACACACAGTGGCAGGTGGAGCCAAATCCCCGGCCCTAGAGGTCACAGTGCCACCTGCTCAGTCATCCTGCTGCTCTGCTCGCATGTTTCCCCATTTCTCCGTAAGACTGAGAGTTGGTCTCCTCTTCCGGGCCAGCTGCCCCTGCAGCTCTTTTAGTAGGTAATTCCGGTCATTTCTGACAGCTTCATTCTGGTCGGATTGTGGGTGAGTCTTATTTAAGGCTGAGGGTGGAGTGGTGGCTCTGAGGCTAGGGATTTGTGACAGCAATCAGGAGGTTGTTGGTTCAATGGTTCAAATCCCATGTATGCCAAGAGTGCTTCTACTCTGTTAGGCCCTTGAGCAAAGCCCTTAACCTGCAGTTGCTTCATCCTGGGTATGATGTTAATGTACATCCAGCCCTATAAGGAGGCCCTTCAACTTACAGGGAATAACTTGGGGGTTGGTGGCAGGATTGGCACTCCAGCCACTGGGGGAAAAAAAAAAACTCACAGGTCCATTCTGACTAGTGTGGTGCTGAAGTATCACCCACCGCACGGCTGCACTCAGGCTCTCATTCCTGAGGTGGTTTGTCATGTGGTGGGTGCAGAAACACACTGTGATCAGTACCTGCTCCTTGCCTCTGCCTTATTTAAACACATGGAAAATAGGATACCTATTATGCGGAAGCAGCCTAATTCTCTTCAGTATGCATTTCTTGCATGTTTAACAAAGCTGTGCATTATATTTTAACATAATTCTACACAAAAGTGTTACGTTTCTTAAGTCTTTTTTCCAGCTGTATTTGGGTAATTAAGCATCTATCCAGTGTCCATTGGTTCTATAATGGAATCATTATAAAGTCATCACACTAATTTGTTTGCTTAGTATTAGTTATATTCTAACTCTTTTTTTCAATTGTACACAGAGATACAGGCAGTGATATATTAGTGATATATTGATTAACATCATTATTGGCCAATGTTTGCTAAAAATCAAGACATCAACATCGGTCCAGTGTGTCAATCTTGGTCAATACTGCCAGCCGATATTTAGACTTGACAGGTTAGCTTCTTATCGGTATCGGTATCGGTTATCGGTTATCGGTTATCGGTATCGGTTATCGGTATCGGTTATCGGTATCTGTAACATTAGACAAAAATATATTGGCTATCGGTATGGATCAAAATTTCCATATTGGTACCCCACTACTTTCAGTGTCTGCACAGATATTGTGGAAGATTGTGGCATAAAGTCCTGCCATATGACCAGGACAGAGGCAGAGGAGAGCAACACAGAATAGCGCACAAAATGCTGATGAATAACCCACTAAAAAATCCCAAATAAAAAGAAAAAGAACATTTTCAAATAAAACAATGCACAAGACATTTAAATAAAACCCTAATACCCTAGGCCCACACATACGCTAACACTACACTTTTAGCATCTGCTCGGCTGACCCCAAATAAAGTGCTAACGAATGAATTAATCCAATCATGGATGGCTGGGTTTTATTAATCGAAGGGTCTTTGGGAATGAAGCAGGTAATCAATCGCCATGCTACCACAAACAATAACTCAAACCTAGCCGTGATATTGCTGTGTGTGCCGCTGGGTCCGGATCCCTGAAATCATCCAAGCCCATATAAGGACAGCTGCCGGTGTGCTCCAGGCTGAAATGGTATCGGTTTTCACTCAGATCCATTCACTTTTGAGTGAGGCAAGATCACGATGTCGGTTTTGTCCAGATTTCCTGACAATGATCACGTTTGACAGGACTGTTCCAGGAATGACGTTCTGATAGCACATTTCTCTTAGTCCGAGGATCTTTTCCAGCACCCGACCTAATAAATCAGAGCCACCAATGGGACCACTGTGGTCTGGTTGTTGCTATAAAACACATTTTTGGAAAAGTCCAAAGGGTAAAAGATAAATAAGGGAGGGTAAAAAAAAGGCTTTGTTCTTCATGCCTACAGAAAAGCTGCGCTGACACTGTAGTCTTTATCTGGCCTCAACAGGTCCACATCTCTCTCTCTCTCTCTCTCTCTCTCTCTCTCTTTCTTTGTCTCCTCCCTCCTGATTCATCTTTATTTCTCCACATCTTCAACCACCTCACATAAGAAGTACCCCTTCTACTATA